CCCCTCCCCCCCCCCCCCAGTGCCCGGCTCGCCGCCTGCCCGTCCCCAGCCACAGGGTTGCCAGACGGTTTCAACAAACATGCCGGACGTGACATCACAATCGACCGTGCAGCTTATTTCCAACATACCGGACAGTTCTATTGTCTCCATTTGCTTCCCAAACAGAAAGCTCAAATACTGGACGGTCCGGCTCAAAACCGGGCGCCTGGCCACCCTACCCACAGAGCTTCCCCCGCAGACAGTCCCCAGCCACAGGGTTGCCAGACGGTTTCAACAAACATGCCGGACGTGACATCACAATCGACCGTGCAGCTTATTTCCAACATACCGGACAGTTCTATTGTCTCCATTTGCTTCCCAAACAGAAAGCTCAAATACTGGACGGTCCGGCTCAAAACCGGGCGCCTGGCCACCCTACCCACAGAGCTTCCCCCGCAGACAGAAAGTTGCCAATTTGCCCCGTCCGAAAACCTGCCTGCGTGGTTACGCAGTGGATGTGCCCCGGTGGGCTGTGCGGCAGCCCTTACGAACGGGCGAGGAGAGGTGTTGCTCCAGTAGCTGGCAAGACTCCACTCTCTGCAGACATCTTTGAAGCTAGCTTCCCATCTCAAGCGTGATTTATTTATTATTAGACACAACCCCTGGGGAAGCCATCCCAGCATTTACACAAGGCCCAGTACACGCTGGGACAGGTTAGCGACTCTGGATTAGTCATATCGCTGCAGGCAGCCAGCCAACTTGGTTGGATTGAGTAAGGCTTCCACTTCTTCCTTGTCACACTGAGGCTTGGTGTGTTTATCCCAGGCTGCCAGAGAGCTGGTACAAGGCACAGAATGTTAAGTAACAATGTCAGGATCCACAAGAAAAACAAGCTTGAGGGATAGGACCATGGCAAGGGAAGAGCTGATACGAACAAGATACATTAAATATAATGTAGGTGGAGGCTAGTGACTAGAAAGGAAAATAAACTGTATACTGTTTTTAAAAGCCTTTGAGGGAACATTTGTGCCAAGAAGCAATGAATGGGCTTAAACTGCAGCAAGGGAGGTTTAAGTTGGCCAGTAGGAAAAATATCCTGTCAGGGTGGTTAAACACTGGAATAATTTGCCTAGGGAGGTTGTGGAATCTCCATCACTGGAGATATTTAAGAGCAGGTTAGACAGACATCTATCATGGATGATCTAGACAAGTGGTCTCCAACTTTTTTAAGCACACGATCACTTTTTGAATTTAAATCAGTCCAAGATCTACCTCAAATCCAAATATCCCTACTCTGCCCCTTCACCTAGGCCCCACCCTCCTCACGCTGTGAAGATGGGGTACAGGGGATGGGGTCATAATGACATCAGTGCCCCCCTGCCTCTGTCTCCCCTACTCTGCACAACAAGCAGGAGGCTCCCAGGGGCCAGCTCTGAGCAGGAGCAGCAGAGAAGTGTTGAAGTGCTGGCACTTGATACCCTTCCAGCCAAACCAGTCAGGATCACCTGTCAGAGTCTCTGAGATCTACCAGTAGATCCTTATCTACCGGATGGTGACCACTGATCTAGACGGTGCTTGGTCCTGCTGTGAGGGCAGGGGTCTAGACTTGAGGACCTCTCCAGGTCCCTTCCAGTTCTAGTATTCTATGATTCTATGATTTTTGCAGTGCCAAAAAAGGGCTATTTGCACTTAATATTCAATGAAATCAACAAAGTAGTTGGGAACTGAGTAGAAAACCACAATCCTCAAAGCATTTACAGACATTTAAAATTAACCCTCACAACCTCTCCGGGCTAAATGGTTCCATTTTACAGCGACAGAAACTGAAGCAAAAAGGCAAAGACCAAAATGTGGAGCTGTATCCTCTGATGCAGGATGCCTTTTGAGTGGTGGATTGGAGTTACAGGGGCCCAGATGCTTAGAAATATTGAAGCACTTCATTCCCATTGATATCAATGAAAAGTTGGCATCTAAATATTTTAGAGGACCTAGACCAGGAGTGTCCAAACTTTTTTCAAAGAGGGCCAGATTTGATGAAGTGAACATGCGTGAGGGCCGACCATTTTGCCTGACATTCTTTGAACCATTAAAATTAAACGCAAATTAACTATTTTATGCAAAGTTTATTGCAAACGGCATACTTTTCATTTCGTCACATGGATGACAAATCTAAACAGGTGTTAAATCACTCTGCCTTTCATATCTGAAGGCCAAATGAAAAAAAAAATCCAGGAAGCTGAAATATATGTCAGGAACGTTGTAAAGTACATTACATATTATTGGTAATAAAGGTTGTCTGTCAACTTTTAAGTTCAAAAAATATGAACAGGAACATAACACCAAGTATACATGTTGTGTCCAAATATATTTATAACTGATTTAGACCAACTGACATTAACTGAGATTTTACAATGTATTCATCTCAATACATATGGATTCGTTGGGGGCCATAAAAGATAGATATTGCCAAATTACCCGTGGGGCCGTATTAAACCGGAACACGGGCCGCAATTGGCCCGCGGGCCGGACTTTGGACATGCCTGACCTAGACCATTGGACCTGATGTTCAGAGGCACTCAGCTCCAGCTGAAGTCCAAGGGAACTGCAAGTTTCAAGTCCTTTGAAAGGCTGGCTCCTGGTGGCTCAGAGCAGGTATCCAAACAATACAGAAGCGGTTATATGGAAAATTGTAATCAAAACGATTTAAAATGAGTCCTGTGAGTGGGTCCCAGAACCCAGCCCAAGCTCATATGTCTACACAGTAATTTTTAACCCCACGAGCCCAACTCAACTGACTAGGATCAGCCCAACACCGTGCTGCAGGTCTTCTAGTCTGCTGCAGCTGTACTCGGTGAGGTAAAAAGTTCTGCCCACTTTCCTTGGGCCCTTATCCGGCCCCAATTGATGTAGTACCTGAGTACCTCATGATCTTTAACACGTTTATCCTCTCAGCACCCCCTTGAAGCAGGGAAGTGCTGCTATCCCCGTTGTAGCAATGGGGAACTGAGAGATGAAGGGCCAGTGTTTTCAGAGGTATTTATATGCCTAGAGATGTAAACAGGTGTCTAGTGGGAGTTAGGCACCTAATCGTCTTAGGCTTAGAGACTTGGCCAAGGTCACCCATGATGTCTATGCCAAAGCAGGGAATTGACTTTGCATTTCCTGGGTGAATACCCTAAACACTGGATTACTGACCCTCTGCTTGTCAGTAGCAGGGCTGGGAACTGACCCTAGATTTCCCGCCTCCCCAGCAGGTATTGTAGTCACATGCTGCCCCTTCGCCCTGCTAATTGTGCAACCCGTAGGTGTCCAGGATACTTTACGGATATGAACCGCCCCCTCACAAAGCTCCATACAGTCTTATAAGTAGAGAACGGGGCAGGCGGCTGCAATGGGTGCAAATGCTACAGCCTTCTGGAGAGCTGGTGCAATATTTGGAGTCACCCCGGCAGACGGTGGTCACGCAATTTCAACAAGGCGAAGACAGGTGTGCACTGGATTGCAACACGCTCGGCTTCACACCCCAGGACTTGCTTACAAACTCCCCGCCCCGATTGATGCTGCGGCTGCACCTGGCTGCCAGGCGTGCTCCTCTCTGCACTCCTAGATGCTTCCCTTCTCCCCAGTTTCATCACCCAGGCCAATTACAAGCGTCTTCTGGGAATCCAATCCCACTGCAGTTTGTGGCCCAAGGTTTGACCTTCCCTGCAGTGTGGCCTCCGGTCACTGGTGTGAAACAGGCAGGGAGGGAGCAGCCGCTGTCCTGGGCCCTGGTCGAAGTAGCAGCGGTAGCAGCCGCCTTTGCTCATTCCAGCAGGGAAATCAAGTGCAGGCAGGTGTCTTGTCATGCCAGTGGGGTGCGAGGAAAAGTCTTAGAGGAAGTGACTTGCCTGCCAAGCCCATGGGGAATTAGAATATTCCGTCAGGACCATGCTGACTCCTGTCTGTACCCTCAGGGTGGGACAGGAGAACAAAGGCTCTTGTGTTTTCGTGGGCGCTGAGAGGGACTGACAGCTCCGGAGCCTTGTGGCTCAGTATAAAGAGAATCGTTGAGGAGGGATGCACACTAGTACTAACTATCTCGGGGTAAAATGGAGGGGCTTCAGGGTGGTGATGACTAT